TTTTTTTTTTTTTTTTTTTTTTTTTTTTTTTTTTTTTTTTTTACGTTTTGTTTTGTTTTTCCTCCTACCACAGTGTGAGTGACCTCAGTGTGCCCAGGATCCTTTTTGCTGGGGGCCTGGCTGGGATCTTCAACTGGGCAGTTGCCATTCCACCAGACGTGCTGAAATCCCGTTTCCAGACTGGTGAGTCGCCCGCCAGCTCGTCACGGCCCCGCGCCGCGCTCCCGGGGGTGGGCTGGGCAGCAGTGGAAGAGGACATCCGAGCGTGGCATCAGGCAGGCAGCGTGTCCTGGGCACTGCTTGAGACAAATGCCTGAAAAATCCAAGTGTGTTCCTAGATTTTTTTAGTTAGTTTCCTGACAGATTTTTGGCAAATGAGGTTGTACCTCTCTGTTCCTTCCTCCCTGCTAATATAATGATCCTGGTTTGAGATAATGTTTTGAAACCTAAGCACAGAAGTCCTAATAACAGAGCCGCTTGTCATGGCTGTTTTATTACAGCTGTAATTCTTTGAGAGGTTTTGTTCCTTCACTTCAGACACAGTGCTATATGAAATTTATAGTAACTGGGCGTGCCTTGCTGAGAGCATTGCTTTTAGACTAGCTGCTCTGCTCTCTTAAATATCTGTGGCCTGGTTATAGTGAGGTTGGCCCCAGGCCTTGCCCTTCAGTGAAGTTTAACAGGTTTGTCATTGGTTTCTCTGGGAGCCCTAGTCAATGAATACTTCTGTTAAGGCTCCCCATAGTCTGTCTGTGGACTCTGCTCTCCACTGGACAGTAACCACTTTTCCTGGTCATGGATTGTGATCATCTAGTGCAGGAAACTTCTTTTCTTTTCTCCAAATAATGGCTGTTGTGGTTTGATACGGTCCCAAGTATTTCACACTCAGCTTTGCATCCTTGTTCCACTGAGGCAATCCCCAGCGCTGCTGTATGTGGGTTAATGGTGGTTCTGTTTAACTGGGGTGGTTTGTGGAGTACTTGTTCAGAGGGCTGGCAAAGGCTTTACTTTCCAGAGAAATGTCAGAAGAAGGAAGAACTTGTTCTTTGAACAGAATAACTTTTCAAAAGCACCTCAGCAAGTCTGTGTAACATCAGCATTAAAACAGCCTGTGCTTTTCACTTGAAGTCTGTTGTTGTTCTTGGCTGGGGCATGTGATAGGATCATTTTCTGTTTCTTATAAACCAACCTCATCAGTTTTTATATCTGACCTTCCTACCTCCTAATTGCAGCTCTTGGGAGAGCTGTGATCAACAGTGTAAGTAACAGCTCAGATTTCCAGCCCTCACAAAAGTTATTCTCTTTTCTTCCCTGCCCCCCAGTGACTTGATGATGTAAATTCTTTGTGGTGATGGTGAGCACCTCCCTTCTGTTTACTGAGTCTTTAGTAAGGTGTCTTTGCTTGCTTTTGATTGAAATAGATAATTTTCCCAAACAGATGTTGCAACAGAGCTTAAGCAATGCTTGGATCCTGGTGTCACCTAGATGGTGTACCAGTATGAATGTGACAAAAATCCTGGGCTGTTAACATACGCCACATCCTTCAGCACTTGTGACTGCCACACATCTTAGCTAATGTGTTTTGTGCCCCTTTCAGCTCCTCCAGGAAAATACCCAAATGGCTTTAGAGATGTGCTGAGAGAACTTATCAGAGAGGAAGGAGTTGGATCTCTCTACAAGGGCTTCACAGCTGTAATGATCAGGGCATTTCCCGCTAACGCGGTAAGTAAATTGTGATTCCAGGTGGGGTCTGGGGACCTGGCTGCTCACGGTGAATGTTTGCAGTCTGTAGGGGAGGTGAGTGGCTGCTCACTGTTGTACCACTTCAGTGAGATTCTTGCCACTGCTGTTTGGCTGTTGGGTGTCCAGGTTCTAAAAATGTACCTTAATTTAGGGGGAACGCCAAGTAAACCTTCCTCTGAAGCTCCTCATGAAAGCCCTTTGTTGAGTCATTCTGACAGTCTTTATTGATTGTGCATCGACCAGTAGAGTAGAGAAATGGGTGGATAAGTTTAGACTGGCTTCCCCTTTAATAAATAACGAGCCTAACAGAGCAGCAGTTCTGCCTTTGTGTAGAGGAATATAGTAGAATTCTTGTCTCTGGTCCAAGAACGTTTTTCATTCTCTTCCTCCTTCCACATCAGCCATGTCAGGTGTTTATAGTGTTGCATTTCTAAAACCTTGTTTGGAATAGATTTTTAGAATCCTTATTTGTTCTGTATGTTCTCTCTTTTTCAGGCATGTTTTCTTGGTTTTGAAGTTGCTATGAAGTTTCTTAACTGGATTGCTCCAGGTTTATGAAGACTAGGAAGTCTTTGGAATTTAGAGAGGAGGAGTGCAAGTCTGCCTCAAAGGAATAAATGAATGATCACTTGAAGTTTCAGGAATTATTGCTTGCCTAATACCTTTTGCCTTCCTCACGTTCCTTAGGTGGTGCTATGTGCCGTTCAGAAACGTAAGCTGTAGCTCTGAAACAGAGTTGATGAGGAGTTAGGGGTGATGCACCTCTCTTCTGAGCCAACGTACCACAGCAGTAACGCTGCTAACAGACAGCTGTCACTATTACACACACTACCTTAAGTACTTCCTCATGGAAGAAGGGGACACGTCTTTAAATACAGTTCTTTGTTTACTGAAGAAACATGTAGCTATTAATGCTGAAAAACTTCCTTAAAATAGTTGTTTGGCCGTATGTACTTAACTCTCAGGGCATGAATTAGCAGCTGCATGTAGGAGTAGCTACCAGCAATGTCAGATATCATTCTCATCTCTTGCAGTTTTTTAGTTGTGGTTATTTCTGTGTTGACAGTGGTTTTACCTGCATGTAATACAGCAAACACAGAGCTAAGCAGGGAGAGCCAGAGCTACGTCTCGGTGAGTTGAGGGGTATTACAGATAGTGCATCGGATCTTGCATATGGATCTGTTCTGTGGAACTAAGGGGGAAACACTTAACATTTGTACTAAGCTTTACTGAACCAGCCAGTGGGGAAATGTGTTTGATTAAGCTGAACTTTTCTCTGAAATCCCTTTCTGTCCCACTGAAGATATCCCAAAGGTGATTTCAAAAGTACAGCACGGTTCATAGCAACCCGTGGTTTATTTGATTTATCAGATGCTGTGTCCCGGGGTTCAATCATTGACATTTGCCTGAGAAAATGTAACAGCACTTCCAAGAACTCAATTTGACACGAGGGGGTACATGAAGGGGACACTGGCTCCGCAGTCTTGTCTAACTTTATTCTTGCTCCGTTCCTTGGTTTTCTTTTAATATTATTGAACATAATCACATTTTCATTTGAGAAATTACTAATGCTAAGAAGCAAAAAGCCACTTTAATTTCTTTTGGTCCTGATGCAGTGTTATTGGAACTCAATAAAGCTAGATGCTGCTTGGCTAGAACGTGTGCTTCCATTTACTTTTTGCATGACCTTGCATGGTTGGTTTTGCAAAAGCTTTCCAGTTCTTAATTCTGAGATGTGATTGGGAAGTAAGTTGTGCCGTGCTGTCTTTAATTGTTAACCTCTTGCTGTTTAGCTTTTGGATTTCTGACATGAACTGTGGAAATTAACGTTCTGCATTTCACCTGTTTGTCATTCAAGGCCTGTTAGGTGCTGTGTTGTGGACAACTTTTTAGCTATAAAGCCAGACACCAAATAACACATTGTGGAAAGTATTTTATGTTTTCCAGGGAGAGGCCTGGACACAGATAGAGCAGAGTTTAGGGAAAGCATTTGTCCCGATGGCCCACAGGAAAGGAGGCTGAGAGTTTGTCCTTCGTCTGGCGTGGTCTGTTGGCCTGTACCATAAGGACGCAGTCGTCACCTCGGCAGGGTCAGCCCTGAGAACTTTCCACCCAGTGCTGCTGCAGAAACCTTGAATTCCACTTTCCTTCCCAATTCCGTGGAAGGACCAGGAGGGAACCTGCCTTCCCCAGAGCCTGCCTCTTGTGTTTTACAGGGCGAGGGTGTGAAAGCAATGGGGTAGCCCCTGGCCTGGGAAAATCTCAGTCACTTGGAGCTGCCTCCACGTTCTCACTCCTGCCTTACCCACCGCGGAGCTTCCCCGCTCCTCGCTGCTTGGCAGGCGGCTGCTGCTGCAGTCACTGCAGCTACAGATGAATGAAATACTTCAAGCATAAACACTGAGTTAATACTGGTTCAGAGAAGTGGCGACTAAAGCACATTAACCTCTCAAATGGTTTTAAACGCAGTTTTAGGTTTGCTGAGGCTAAATCCGAAATAGATTCAAGAGGACCAGGACTGCTTTTATGGCTCTGTGCTGCCGAACCACCAAATGCTGTCCTGTCCTGCTTTGGCTCCCTGGCTGCTCTGGCAGCACTTCAGTCCTGGGGCTGTGATGCCTAGAAGCAACTTCCAGCTTTACAAAGTGTTCTAAAGCCGGATTTTTCTGTTTTACTTACGTGTTCCCAAAATACTGACAATTCTTGGGAGGGCAGATGCGTACAGACTCTGCACCTCCTCCCTTAAAAATTCCAGATGCTGGTGCTTAACGCTGCCTGTTCCAGCCGTCCTGTCAAACGCATCCTGTTGAGCTCCTAATCTCACAGGAAACTGGGAAGAATTGAAGCATAATCACCCGGTTGCAAGTGCGGTTCTCGGTTGGTTTATGACGCAGTTGCCCAGCAGATGGCTGTCTGGGGCTGTTAGCAAGATGGACAAAACCTGCAGGACCAAAGGCAAGGTCAGAGGCAAAGGGAGCCAGCACACCAGCTGCTGCTGGCAGGCTACTGCGTCCCTTCGTGGCAGCTGCACCCTTCGGAGTTGGGCTACAAGAGTTTTATGTCTGATTCAGGACAGAGACAGCTGGAAAGCAGGAGCCTCTTCTCCAGATCTGTCCTGCTGAGGAAGACTGTGATCCTCCAGGCTGTGCGTTGCGGTTCATACTCCCTCCCATCCCAGTCCTATTAGTCTGGAGTGTTGCAGACTATGAAAAACATTTAATTCATGGAAAACAAATCAGGGACTAGCAACGCGCTGGATTCAGTTGGTGGGATTAAGAGCACAGCTTCTCCATTTGGGCACTGAGGAGCCTTCTCTTAGTCTGTGTGCTGGGCTCTTGCTTGGTGCTCCCACACCTGCCCCAGCTGCCCTGCCACCAGCTCAGGCTCACCTGTCTGTGCCCTTGAGCAGCACTTGCTCTGAAAGACTCAAATATTCCCTACACTAACACTTCAGTAACTGTAAACTATCTTTCTCCTGCCAAAATATCCCTTTTAATACTTTATAAAAAAGCATTTCAGATCCCTTTTTTTCCAATTTCAATTACCCTAATTATATTCTCCCCAGTCTGAAGTTTTTGCAGAGCTTTGTAGTTTGCATGATAAAATTCGGGCTGTTTAACATGCTTGATTTCATTTGGTTCTTTTAGAGAAGTAAAATATGGAAGGCAGCAATCAGGAATGAGGGGCTGCTTTCCAACAGCAGCGGTGGGAGGAGAGGAGCTTAGGGAAGGCTGATCAGACACATCTGCTTGTTTGTTCAAAAACTGAAACCCAGGCACCCTGGAAATGTTTAAAAAGCTGCTCGTGTCTCTCAAGATTCTGCCATACAAAATTTGCCAAATCCTTGCCCCCTGGTGTGTGCAGCCTCAGAATGAGAGAGGGATTTTTAACACAGGTACGGTTTCCTGCACACTGAGGACTCTCTTGCTTTCAGAAGCCCAGATTTGCATTTAAATATTTTCTAATTCCCCAGCTTCTTGTGGGAATCAAGGCAGCACGTATACAGGTTGACGGTACGGAGCAGCATCTGGTAAGCTGGGTCTCCACATCAGCAAAGGATACCGATGACATTTGTCTTTACGCTCCTTGTGCTGATATAATACATGTTTTTTTCTGTATCGAAACCAGTGTAGAGTTCCACCAAAGTGTGCTGTACATCTTCCTGGCCCATCCTGCTTTGATGTGAGTGATCTTTCCAGTGGTGATTCAAGGTGCCTGGAAGTATTCCAGAAGTCATCCACGATACATAAATCTTCCACGCTTGCATTTCTCTGCCCATTGTGTGCAAGTGGCTTTTGTGTACACTCAGCGTTGCTATTGACAGAAAGGTCCTTGGAATACCCCTGACAAGTCAGTCTTGATCAAATCTGACTAACTAAAGGAAGCTGCCTGTGGGAGGATTACTACAGAGTCTCCAGTTTGGGAGGGATATTGCATGGTAGATCTTACAAACGGTTAGTAATGGGAAGAGGGTGCATTTACTCCTATTTCTCACAGTGTAAGACATACAGTGTGTTCAGTGAGGATATCAAGCAATATTTAAAATAAAAATATTTCTTATCTGTTGTGTACAATTAAGCTATTTAGGTTGTTGCAACAGAACGCAAAGTGCTTTAAAAAAAACTCATGGAAGAACAGTTCATCAAGAGCTCCTGAAAACTGAAACGGCTACAAAGCCTTGCATGAGAAGTTCCTGAATTGCAGCTTGATAGGAACTGGGAGAGTGTGCTAGGGAAGTCACACCGAGCGCTTTACTTCTTGTGTTCTTTCCGTAAGTATTTGTTGCTGGCCACTGTCAGGCAGAAGAGACAGACCTCAGATCTGATCTTTGGTACGTTGGCTGCTGTTCTTCTTATGGTGCGATGGGCAAAACCCTGAGTAGTTCTGTGGGGTCCGCACACAGGAGGATAGGCTGGCCACGTCCCTTCCCAGGAACAACACACCCTAGAACACACCAGTTATAGCTTTGCACATGCCGAATTGGTCTCTAACAGTTCAGTTTCCCATTTTTACATTGTTCTTACTACCTGCTGCTTCTCAGGAAAGAAGACTCCGATGTCAATAGCCTGTTTGTGCAGGGGAGGGACCAGCCTTGTTCACAGCCTGTGGAAAGTGGCTTTTACCTCTACAGAGCTCACAGGGTGACAGAGGAGTTGAGGGTCGGAGGCATCTCTGGAGAAGGTCCATCCCAGCCCTCCTGCTCAAAGTACTGTCCACTAGAGCAGGTTGCCCAGGGCCATGTCCACTCCGGTTTTTAGTATCTCCAAGGACAGAAACTCCACAGCCTCTTGCAGCAACCTGTTCCACTGTGCAATCACCTTCACAGGAAAACAAGTTCTCTCTTATGTTTAAGTGGAATTTCTTGTATTTCAATTTGTGTCCTGTCACTAGACTCCACTGAGAAGAGTCTGGCTCCATCTCCCCCTAAACTCCCTCCTGTCAGGTGTCCATTAACACTGGTACGATCCTCCCAGAGCCCTCTCCAGGCTGAACAATTCCAGCTCTCTTGGCCTCCTTGTATAGTCTGGAGAAGAGGAGGCTGAGGGGAGACCTCCTGGCCCTCTGCAACTCCCTGCCAGGAGGGGGCAGAGAGGGGGGATGAGTCTCTGGAGCCAAGGCCCCAGCGCCAGGCCCCGAGGGAATGGCCTCAAGCTGCCCAGGGCAGGGTCAGGCTGGCTCTGAGGAAGGATTTCTGTGCAGAAGGGGCTGTTGGGCGTTGGAATGGGCTGCCCAGGGCAGGGGGGAGTCCCCGGGATCCCTGGAGGGGTTGAAGAGTCGGGCTGAGCCAGCGCTGAGGGATCTGGGGGAGCTGGGAAGGGTCAGGGTGAGGGTCATGGTTGGGCTGGAGGAGCTGCAAGGGCTTTTCCAAACGAGATGATTCTGAGATTCTGTATTGCAGATACTCCAGTCCCTTCATCATCTTTGTGGTGCTTCGCTGGACTGCTCCAATATGTCAATGTCTCTCTTGTACTGGGGAGCCCAGAACTGGACACAGTGCTCCAGGTGTGGCCTCACCAGGGCTGACTGGGGGGAAGGATCATCTCCCCTTGCCTGCTGGCAATGCTCTCCCTAAAGCAGCCCAGGGGCATATTGGTGGACCATGTTCAACCTTTTCTCCACCAGGACCCTCATGGCCTTTGCTGCAAAGCTGCTTCCCAGCTGGTTGGCCCCTCCAGCATGCTCTGGTGCATTGGGTTAGTCCCCCCCAGGAGCAGGATTTTGTACTTCCCTTTGAGAAACATGATTCCTCTTGGTCCAGCACTCTGGTCTGTTGAGGGCTCTCTGAAAGATGGCACAACCTCCCGGGGTACCAACCACTCCTCCTGGCGTGGTATCATCTGCAAACTTGCTGAGGGTGCCCTCCGTCCCATCCTTCAGGTCATTACTGAAGATGTTACACAGCAGTGGCCCCAGTTCTCACCCTGGGGTACACCACTACCCACTGGCCTCATCACCAGTCACCTGGACGTCAGGCGGCGGGTCCCAACCCTCGTGGCCTGGCAGCTCAGACACTTTTAAGTCCACTAAGCTGATTTGTACTTGATTCATTAATCCAGGGGGGATGTCACGGGGGGCAGCACTGAAAGCCTTGCCAAAGCAAAGGCAAGCATCCCCCACTGCTCTGCCCTCACCTGCTGAGCCAGTCACCTCACCATCGACGACTTCCCCGCTGGTCGCAGGGGCCTGGGGCTGCCGAGGCAGCTGTAGAAGAAATACCTCACAAACCCATGTCTGGCATTTCGGAGCTGTCTTTGAGCAAGTGATCTTCCACCATGACCAGAACAGCCCCTTCTGGCGGCTCACAGGCCCTGGGCAGGAATTCACCTCACATGTGCAGCGTGGGATGGTTCTCCTCATGACGTCTTGCTTCCACCCGTAACGCGTGACTTGCCTGTACAGGCCACGGACAAAAATGCCCGCTGAGTCAGGGGCACGAAGCCAACTATGCTGTGGCACTGCCCTGGTGCCATCGGGCGTGCTCCGCACAGAAGGGGCTTCAACAGCGCTGCTCAACTGTTCCTTTGAAAACAGACCCAGCTGCCCTGGCAGCTGTTTGCTGAGGACTTCTGCTCCTGACCCGGAGGACAGCAGGGAGACGCCTGCCTTGCAGCCAGGGGCTTCCCGGGGCGGAGGGCTGCAGGGATGGCTGGGATTCCTGCCTCTTCCCTGCTCCCGGGGATGGGTTTGGGGTGATGTGACCGCGTGCGGCCGTGCTCATTCAGCAGCCGTGGATGTGGCTCTGTCTGACCCTGGTTTACACCAAACTTTGTCTTTCTGCCCAACAGACCCTGCCCTGAGAAAGCCACACAGTGAAGGAGAGGGAACAGGCTGCCTGATGCTGGACGCTTGAAATGGAAAACTATTTCTAATTTAGGGTGATCTGTGTATAAAACCGAGAACATTTTCCATTACCTCAACATGTTAGAATAGTTCTGCGAGCATATCTCAAACTTGGTAAAAATGTAAACCTTAAGCAGAGATTGCACAGGATTTTCACTAACTTCTGCCTCTGAATTCAGACACTTCAGCTGAAGCTCAGACACTTCAGTTTAAGCAGTTTACAACGCAGAGGTTCTCCCTAGGCTTAGGGAGAAGCCTGGCTGTAAAGATCAGTATCAAAGTCACAGCAATAGGCTATAGATGAGCTTCACTTCCCTTTGCAGGTGACAGTTTGAATGAACATTTGCTGAAGTACACGATGCCACTGTTAACCCTCGGCGCTGCTGAGTGGGAGCCTGCAGTGATTATCTGTGCAATGAGCTGACTTCTCTCCTTCGTCGGAGACCCAAGCACGGCTGCTGCTCTGGGTCTCAGAGAAGTCGCACACCAGCTCTGGATACCAAATAAATGTTGAGCTGCCCACTTATGGATTCCCCAAGGCTGAAAGCATATCCCAGCAGCAACATTTCTTCTTGATACTATTTCCTAATACTGTTTCCTAATAGTTATTTATTGCTGGCAGCTGCTTGCTCCTTCCTCTCTCCACCCATACCATCAAAAAATTCTAAACTGTGATTTAGCTTTGAGTATTTGTCCCGGTAGACTAAAGGCAAGGAAATAAATTCTTTATCCCTTCCCATCTTTAATCCCTATGCAGATTTCAGCAGGACCAGCTGAAATACTGAAAAGGTGTAAAATTACAGCGAGTCCTCCTGCTCGGGCTAAGCCCATGTGATTCAGAAAAGCTCCTGACTGCCTGCAGAGACAAATACTAAAAAAATACTTCCCTCCGAAACATAATCCTCCTGCTCATCCCCCGGCCCTCCCTCCCCGCTCACCCTTGACTCCATATCAATCACTGCCAGGCAATTATCTGCTTCGTTTACTGCCTCCTGGCCGGAGCCAAAGTTCAGGAACTGGCAGGCGATGGCAGGAGATCACTCGGCGGAGGGAACTCGCTGTTCTCCCAGCCTGGCCACCCATTTCCCAGCAGTGGCAGGCGTGCTCAGCCCCAGGGCACGGGGAGCTTCTGCAGGGTTGTTGAACCCTGGCCCTAACAGCAGAGGCTTCTCCTGGAACGGAGCCCGAAGGTGCCCTGGGCAGGAGGTCGGAGCGGGGTTCCCTCCTGGGGAAGGGGCTGGCATCTGCGGCCACTGAGCTGGAGAAGGCGTGTGGATAGCGAGCCCTGGTAGCCCTCCCCGTCTCTGTCCTTGCCCACCGCCCCAGCAGCTCCAGCTGGGGGAAGCTGGGCTGTTGTCCCAGGTCCCCTCGGCCTCCATTCAGCAAAAGCTGCATCGGGATGGCAAAATTCAATTTTTCCTGGGCCGGGGAAGCTCCTGGAGGTGGTTTTGTTCCTGCCAGGGCTGTCGTGGATGAGGCGTGGTGACACGGCACCGGTGTGAAATGTCTGTCTCTCCTGAGATGAGCAATTCCTTGTGATACGGATGAGTTCTCTCACGTGCCTGTAATAAATTGTTGGGGTTTTCCCCATTTTCTTCCCTATGGGTCCAGCTACAGGGATGGAGATCACTCCTGGCATTTCTCTCCTTAACACTCACAAAACAAAGCCATGCAGCTGTCCCGCTCTCCAGCGCGGGCACGTTTAGAGATGCCAGAGCTGTTCGCTGCTACGGGAGAGCTGCCCAGGCTGGGGACAGACCTGTGCCACCCTCCCCCCCGCCTTGTCCTGTGCCCTGGCTCCAGGCTAAGGGACGGGTAGAGGAGCTCTGCGCAGCAATGTCCCAGTGGGAACGGGATTGTGAAGCACAGCTCCTCCACCTCGCTCCCCCAAACAGCAGCTGGGATTTGTCACACCCGAGGAAAAGATAAAAGCATGAAGTGTCACTAAGAACCGCCTTACGCACATCAAGGATCTCTCAGCCCAAAGCTCTGCCCCCGGTGAGGAGGCACGAAGCACCCAGCTGTGTCACCCACAGCCAGGCACTGGGATTTACTGGGCTGGAGACTATCTGCACCTAAAGCTCTAGGCTCGCTTGTCAATATAATCACCTTTTGGACCCCTTCTTGGTTTTGGCCTCTACAATACCTGATGCCAGTGAGTGGCACTGT